AGAAGTGTTTGAAATATATATACACACGCACGCACATAAGCCTTACCAGTCGCAGGCTCCAAGGTGAACAAATATGTTTGTATCTACTTCTCCTTCTTGTCGCATTTAGATAAACACTTGTCAGGTTCATCTTGCTTGTAATATATGGCGCAAATTGCATGAGGAATGGTATACAAGGTATGTCCCATGATCTACGAGAGCAAGTTTGCTTTTCCATGTTTATTACAAACTCGTCTGGTTTGTGCTTCACTTCATATCCTTCTCTGCCATTCCAATCCACATGGCAATAAGTGCTTTCTGTTTCAGCCTTGTTTTCCTCAAATTTCATCAGAATTCGGGGGCAATACTCTCCATTCCAACTCGCAGCAACTGACATCTTCACTTGAATTCTTCTCATCCCTTGGATTCTTATGTCCTCAAGCATGGATATGGTGGTAATGTTGTCGAGACTTGCCCTTGTGATTTCCTCCAATTCACATGAATATGTCTAGCGCACGTTCTAAGATATGCCAAGGGTAAAAGCTCTTGGATAGCTGGAACTAATCCCTGTAAAGAACGTTTCTAAGAACAAGACACAAGAAAAAATTCATAACAAAGAAAAAACAAAAAAGATGCCCTTTGTTGATAGGATATTAAGGTCCATCCCTTGTCTTTGCTTTCAATTTCCATCCCCATATCATGCATTAAAAAAGGTAGAAAGCACGACCAAGAATCCTTTGTCTACGTGCACATTTAACATCGGAGATTTTTCTGATTTCTTTTTCCTTTCATTGCCAAAGTGTCAGCACAAAGGTAATATCTTGCGTGAACTATTCATTTATGTTTGATTACTAAGGGTGCGCATGGCAACGATTCTGTGTCCGGGAACTGATTTTGGTTAGAAATTATTCTTTTTTATTCCGTGCCCGGGAACAATTTTTAAGCATTTGAAGGCATTTGGTAACTGTCCAAAATTTTTATTCTTGTAATAGAAAAAGAATAGAAATGCGTTTGGTAACTACACAAAATTCTTTTTATTAATAATATTTTGAATTTTTTAATATTTCTTTCTTTTTTTCTTTTTTTTTTTTCTTTTCTTTCCCTTCCCTTCCTTGGCCATGGCCGGTCGCCGGCGCTGGCGACCGGCCACAGGTCTGGGCCAGCAAGGGCGTTGCCGCCCTCACCGGTCACGACGGCGAGGTCGGCCTCGCCGTCGCGACCCATCTCCCTCGCCTGGGTTGTGACAGCAAGATCGACCTCGCCATGGCTGGGCGAGGCCTCACCGTCACGACCGCGAGCCGCCCTCATCCAGGCGGTGAGGGGGACCCTCGCCAGCCCTGGCCTGTGGCCGGTCGCCGGCGGCAAGCTAGGAAGAAGAAGAAGAACAAACCAAGAAGGAAGAAGAAAACCAAGAAGAATTAAAAATGGAAAAATTGTTCCCAGAATCAAGAAGCTACTTTTTTTTGCTTCTTGATTCTATTCCAAAACTGATTCTGAAAATAATTCTTTGCAAATTTGTGCCCGGGAACAAAAAATTTAACAAACAAATTTCTGTTCTCAAACTGATTCTGGGAACAAAAGAACAGAAATTTTTACTATTTGGCAACTTGCCAAATGGGCCCTAAACAGCTAATGTTCAAATATAGAACATCTAATCTAATTATTAGCTCTAAATTCCATTGTTTTTTTTATAGTCTTTTGTGAATCTTCTAAATAAAAGAGAATACTTGAGAATCAAAGTTTCAAAGTACTTCGTGAATCTATCAATTGTGCAAAAGACCTGGAAATTTTTTTTTTCCCGAAATGGGTAGATACCAGTTTTTGATGACAAAATAATTCAATTACAAGGGTAAGTGTATGTCCTCAGCAATTATAGCAGCAGCACAAATTAAAAAATGCAATAAGATCTTTCAACTTTGATACTCTAGACCGAGGCTGAGCCCGGCACCCTAGCGCTCTTGCCTCAATCCATTAAGGTTGGGCCCAGGACCCAAGTGCTAGTGCCTCGATCCTCAGCACTAGGGTTGGGGTCCATTGAAGTCGGACCCGGGACTCTGGTGCTCATACCCAATTCCACGGTTGCCTATGTGTAAGTTACTAGCGCTCGAATAGTGTATGTTGATTTAGGAAAATCAAATCAGATTTTCCATACCAAACAACAGCAAATATTTTCTAGTTTATTTTTCAGGTTTCAGCTAAATACCGGAAAATATTATCATTTTCCTAGAAAATAACTTCCTGGAAAATATTTTCCAGATATGTCACGTTTTTTGCGAAATAAACGAAGCCTTAGGGTGCGTTTGTTTCGCGGATAACATAACATTTCTGGAAAATATTTTCCAGGAAATCATTTTCCAAGAAAATGATTTAGTTTTCTTTTGCTTGGTGATATGTAATTGAAAAAGTTTTCTGGTGTTTGGATCTTATTTGGAAAATGATTTCAATCTCATGATTTTATCTTAGTCACAAAAAAAATCGAATTTTTCAAGTAATTTTTTATTTTTTATTTTTTTTCCTTCTTCATCCCTCCGCCGATCACCGGGCTCAGTGTCGGCCAACGAGGGTTGACCTGGTTGGCCTCGAGCGAGATCGAGTCTCGCCGGCCTCGGGCATGGTCGAGCTCGCCAGATCCCGATGAGGCTTGAGCTCGCCGTGGCAAGGCTAGCGAGGCTCGACCTTAGCCTCTCCAAATCCCCGGGAGACTTGAGCTCGGCCTCGCCTGAGACCAGCCTATGCTTGTGGCTAGTCGTCAACCATCGCCGAGGCCAACGATCGGTAGAGGGAGGAAGAAGGAAAAATAAATAAAAAATAAAAAAATAAATTATTAACAAATTTAAGATAAGCAATTTTAGAAAGTGATTTCACCTTCTTAGATTAGGGAATTCATTTTCCTTATTTTATAAATGAATGTTTTCCTTAATCGGAAAGTATTTTCAGTTGACTAATCATTTTCAGCGAACCAAATAAGTGAAAATTCGGAAAATACTTTCCTTCAAACAAACGCACCTTTATAGAAGAAAGCGGCTTGGCTTAGTGTGATTGGAATATGATTTCCCTGTGACCCGCTGGCTTCCGATACTACCACAAGAGAGCAAGCAGTATGAGCAAATTCGTTGCCTATTCCTTATTAGATGAGATGTCAGTTCATGTCCATTAATTTACCCTTTTAAGCTTTCACAACATTTTATTTGCATAAATAAAAAACAAATAACTTTCCCCCGTTGCTTGGTCTTCACTGCTAACTGCAGTAAGGAGTAGATTGTTGGAGGATCTCTCGAATATTGGGTACCTGTTGTTAGACCAAATAGATTGCTTTATCAAATAGGTGGGGTAGCAAAAATATAGCCGAAAAGGTTATTTTAATAGCGGCAAAATGCCCATACGATCTCAATTGTAGCAAACATTCAGAAGAACAAGACATCAGAATAAATACATAACAAAGAGAAACAAAAATATACTTTTTGTGGATCGGATATTAAGGTCATCCCTTGTCTTTGCTTTCAATTCCATTACCATATCACGCATTAGATTACACAGAAACCATGACCAAGAATCCTTTGTCGACCTGCACATTTTCCACCGGCATATGTTGACTTTTTTATTTATTTCATTGCGAAAGTGCTGACACAAAACTAATGTCTTGCATGAACTATTCAATCATGTTTGATTACTAAACAATTAATGTTCCGCTATCCAACATCTAATCTAATTATTTTCATTAAATCCCAATATTTTTTAATTTAATAGAAGATAATTCAAAAGTTATTATCATCATTGTTCATTGTAAGCAAGTGACATGGATTTATTACCAGCGTGAAATTGCCATGTCAAATCTCTAATGGCAACTTTGGACGACAAGTTAACAGGAGAAATATTTGAGATTCAAATAAAAGTTTGTGATTTTTTATGAGGTAAAAAAAGTTCAAAATAGAATTGATACTTGACCCAAAGTTGATGGTTTTTTAGGAAATTAGACCCACTCAACTATTCCAAAACTTTCCCGAATTCTTATTTGACTTTCCTTTTCTCTTCACAATATTTCACTTTTGCTTATGACTTTACGATTTCCACTTTTCCTTTCGCTATGTGTCCTGTGAATACGATTTCCATGTTTTCATAAATGTTATGATTTGAGTGTCATTAGATTTTAGCAGGTTGTGACTTCCAAGTTCCAGTTTAAATTCAATTTTCATTTTCCATTACAACACTATAATGTCGGTTTCATGCTTTAATTTTCTTTAATTTCAGAGGCAGTGGCGGCACCTCTTTATAGAGAGTGGGGGCAGTTGTCTCTAGTCAAATTGCAGATCTTTTTATTATTAGCGTAATTAACTCTAAGCATAGGTTGATAACCCCACTAATTTCTATTTTTTGACCCCACTAATCAAATTTTTTGAACAACAAAATTAGCCTCGCTGAAACTTTAGAAACCCAAGTTACAATGAAAAAGGTCAAACTTAAAAACCAACTCGATATATTCAAATTACTTTGATAAAAATAAATATATTAAAACTTAAAATTTTATTTGGCAAAATATCATTTTTGCATGACTGTGATTTTGGTTCTCATTAGCATTGAACTAATGTTACAACACCTTCAAATGAGCTAAATTTGAAGAATATTTTGTATGTTAAATGCATAAGAAAAATCTACATAGTTCAATGCATTACTTTTCGCATATTACGTACCATCGCTGCATTGAAAATTGAAGCATTTCTCATCATGTAGGTTTAACTAGTGTCCCGAAATTACTCAAAAAAAAAATTAAATTTTCGTCAGCTTTGGATGACTGATGTCAATAATGTAATTATTGACCTGCGTAAAATTTAGATTATCACCTTTTGCAATTTCGCAGGACCAACAATTTCAGGAATTACTTGCGTAATATAGTCTGCACAGACAATGTTCTTAATATAAATACAGTACGAAGTTCGAGAATTGCTCTTGGCCACATGATATGCACCGACAGCTAGAGAAGAAAAAATTTAACTGTCCAAGTTGTGGCTGTGCAATTAATCTTGGAGAAGAGACCGCAAAAGAGTTCAACGAGCCTATCGTCTAACTTTGGAGGAGACAGATATTCGAATTTCAGAGTCTAAAGATGGATCCCGATAGTGTGCGCATAACTATCGAAGATAATGAAATCTGGGAGCAGAGAAAGACCAGATTGAAAGCACTAGAGCCGGGAAACGAACCACACACCCAAGTAGAATTCAGTTATTTGACCAAAAAAAAAAGAGTAGAACTCAATTGTCGTGTTTATCCGCTGCTACAAGCCGCCACGAAAAAAGGCGACGTCGACGAGTTCATCGAAGCCCTCGAAAAGTATTCGGCAGAAGAGAGGGTCTCTTTGTCCGACATTATCGGCATACAGGGCCCTTCCGGGAACTCATTGCTCCACGTCGCAGCGGGTATCGAGAACACCGACATCCTTCGAGCCCTTCTTGAGGTCATCCACGACAAGCAGCTCGCCACCGTGTGCAACTACCAGAAGGACACCCCGCTTCACGTCGCGGCAAGAGCTGGCAGGATCCACACGGCCAAGCTCCTCCACGGCTGCGGTATGATTGTGGCCATGGTGAACGACGCGGGAAACACCGCGTTGCATGAGGCTGTGAAGAACGGTCACTACGATTTGACCAGTATGCTCCTGTCTGAACGCCCATCATTGGTGTATAAGAAGAACAAGGAGAGCAAGTCCCCGCTGTACTTGGCAGTCGAGATGGGGGACTTGATGATTCTCAGGCTTTTGATGGCAGCGATGCAAGAGCATGAACTCCTTCCGTCCCTGATGGAAGGCATGTCGCCGGTTCACGGAGCCGTGATTTACCGAAGGATAGGTCAGTGATTATACTTATGGCTCTCACTTGGGTAAATTTATCGGTGAGACCATAAACATTTATGTGTCTACTTTGGATTCATACGAGCCGTTGAACCTGCAAGTCTCATTCATAAAGCAGCTGACCTCACATTTTTTTGTTTTTCTGCTAGAACGGTTTAACCTTTTATAGAGCCTGCGTCAATTAAAAATGTCCTATAAATTTTGGCCCTGAAGAAGGCAAATACGATATGTTTGGACTTGGGTCTTGGCGTGACTTACCCCCTGAAGAATGTCATCAGTCTAATACTTCAGTAGTCAATACCCATAGTATAAGCCATTGTTGACACTACACTACTTATATTACTGTCCAAAGACCTTTTGTAAAACAGGAAAACACTCGTTTCATGGCTGCCCTAGATTTCTCCAATGTGGTAAACTACTTCCTGGAAATAGTCTCTATGCTTTGAAGCATTCTCCAAAGTCTTTACTAGATTATCCCTCAAAAGTTTAGATTTCAATATGTATATGATTGAATATCGCAATTTTGTTTAGAGTGGGAAGTACCCAGACCCCCTGGTCATAAGCATGACATATTCATTCATTTCCTGCTCTCCAATGATGTAGTTCTGCTGAAAGAGATGTTAAGGCGGCAGAAAGAGCTAGCTTATTTAAGAGATGCTGGAGATCGTACTCCCCTCCATTTTGCAGCATACGCTAATTACGTCTCGGGAGTCAAATTTTTGGTCAAAGAGTTCTCTTGGAGCGCATTTGAGGGCGACGATCAGGGCTATCTTCCGATCCACGTCGCATGTAAAATGGGTCATCTCGAAACAATCAAGGAGCTGCTTCAACATTGGCCAAATCCAGAAGAGTTGGTAAATTTTGAGGGGCAAAATATACTTCACGTTGCGGCAAAATATGGAATGGCCTCGGTAGTGAAGTACATACTCGGCGATCCCGAGCTTGAGAAGCTTGTAAATGCGAAAGACTGGGAAGGAAATACGCCTCTTCATGTGGCCACTTTGCATTGGCAACCCGAGGTTCTGTTCTCTCTCACCCATAACAACAAAGTCAATCTGGAGCTTAAAAACAACAGCAACTTGACTGCTCTCGACATTGTGGATGAGCAACTGAAAACAGTCGATGCTCCACTTCGCAAGGTGATGATCTCTACAAAATTAATTAACAAATTATTTCACTCTTATTTTGGCCACTTCCTTTCTGGGAGAGGTGAAAGGAATTAAGGCTAAGTTTATTTCGCGAAAAATTTGACATTTCGAAAAAAGGTTTTTCAAGAAATCATTTTTTAGGAAAATGATAATATTTTCTGGTGTTTGACTGAAATTTGAAAATAAACTGGAAATAATTTTCCGTCATTTGAAAAGGAAACTTGCTTTTATTTTCCTAAAGAGACATACCCTATTTGCGTTATTTAAGGGCTACACTTGCTATATCATCAAATTTTAAAAAAAGTTTAATCAAATTAAATTTCATAATATAAATACTTTTATAGATTGTAGACAATTTACATTTTTTCTCTTACGGAATCTAGGCTCGGGTGCTTAGGTCCAAGACCCAACCTTGGGTCCTGACACTGGGGTCCTAGACCTAGTCACAGATGAACTGGACTTGGCAGTCAAGGTCCCGAGTACTTGGGCATGACCGTCGAAAACTCGAATACGAGGGCCAACCAAGGACTTGGCCCCGGCATTGAGGGACCTTGGCCTTACTGTAGGGGTCCTAGACTCAAGTGACAAGGAACTCGGCTTGGGCATCAAGGACTAGGCCCCATTCTTAGGGGACTCACGCCCGACTGCCGAGGTCCTGGTCGTAGGAGCCGGATTTCTCGTGCCTAGCCACTGGGAACCCGAGCACGAGCACCGAAGACTTCGGCACAAGAGCTGAGTCTTGGAGTTTTGGGCTTAGCCTCTGTGGACCTAGGCCCAACCATTGAGGAACAGAGCCCAACCTCGATGGACTCGAGCCTAGGTGCCAGTGACTCGAGTGTGAGAGCTGGGTACTCGCACATGGCCGCTAGGGTCCCAGGGTCTCACGTCTAGCCTTGAGAGACCCCAACCCAACCTTGAGAGACCCAGTCCCGGCCTCTATGGACTTAGGCCCAACCTCGATGCATCAATGTCTTGGGTGCAGGAGCTAGGTACACAGCCATATCCACTAGGAACCTAAGCACAACCACCAGGGTCTTAGCCACAGCCTTGAGGGACCTAGGCCCCACCTCAATAAACTTGAGCCTGGGCGCCAGGGACTTGGGCATAGGAATTGGGTACCCGGGCACGGGCACTTGTGTCCTGGGCCTAGCCTTTATGGACTCGAGCCTGGCCTTTATGGACTCAGGCCTGGCCTCTAGGACTTGGGCCCAACCTCTGGGACTTGGGCCCAGCTGCCAAGGATTCGGGAACAATCATCGGGGTTATTGTGCCCAGGTGCTGAGGTCTCTAGTCCAAACACTGATGTCCAATCATATTTTGGAAAATAATTTTCGATTTTTAAAAGAGGAAATCATTTTCTTGAATTTAAGCATAGATTTTCATTGACTATAAAAAGATTTTTTGCTAACTCATTTTCCAAAGCAATCCAAAACACCGGAAAATGATTTTTGACAGAAAATTTTCCGCGAAACAATCAAAGTTTAAAGTTTAGTTTGACCTGTTCAACTTCCCTGAAAGTAACCAAGTGGAATTAAGTTTCTACAGTAAGCTCATAAAAGATTGCATTTGCAAGTCTTTGTATCGCTTGAGATGGTTTCATTTTTTAGTATTCTAACTCTTTGATTGTTAGTTCATCTTACATGGAAAATAATGGTCTTTTTATTTCTATTACGCTTAATCAGAGCTTAACACGAATAATCTTAGTATCTGCTGGAGCACCCATAAGCAAAGACAAAGCAATTTGCCAGCCAGAAGGCTTAGTTCGGGGGGAAGATCCAGAGCCTCCACGTTTGGATAGACTAGAAAAAGCATCCGATGCCCGTATGCTTGCGGCAACTCTCATTGCCGCTATGACATTCGCCGCTGGCCTTTCCGTTCCTGGAGGATATAATGGCTCTGAACCAGATGCGAGAATCGCTACGCTGTTGAACAAACCCATGTACGATGTCTTCGTGATCTGCAACACAGTTGCCATGTACAGCTCGATAATTGCAGTTGTGATCCTTCTTTGGTCGCAGATCAATGATTGGCATGCAATGCATCGTGCCCTTGGAATGGCAGAGCTACTTCTGCTCATAGCTCTTGCCACAATGTCCGTGGCCTTCATGACAGGGGTCTACGTGACCATAAGCAAACGCACTTGCATCGCTGTTGTCGCCATGATCGTCGGAATGACTGCCCTCTTCATTATCTCGAGTCTTTACATTGCCATGTTCTTTCCGCTTGGTTATAGTTCTCCTCTTATCCGGCCCTTCACCAACTGCATCATTAGAGCTGGTGTATTAATTTCAAGAAGTGGGACAAAAGGAAGGGCAGACAATAAGCCGGGGCTGCCTGAGGACGCTCTCAGATCCTCTGGGCTTGTGTTTACAGAAAAGGCAGAAGAAACGACGATGATGAAAAGTCGCGACCCTGAGCAAGACTTTGAGAGCAGAACTCGTTGGAGGAAGAGAAGAAAAAGGGGACTGAAAAACTGAGCGAACGTAAAAAATAAAATTTGGCGTATCCATGCAGAGATTTCATGCTCTACTGTAAAAAACATGAGTCGTGGGACTAGTATTGGGTGTGATAACAAATTCCATTTCCATATAAATTTTACTTCTCCTTTTCTATGAAATAAATGATCTTAAAAAGATGAACATTCAATGAAAACATGCCACTTTCCTTTATGTTCCTTTCGTTTTAATTAATTAGGTGCCTCATGTTTTCATAGGCATGAAATCTGTTCCTTTGATTTCTTCTATTATGTACTGTCAAGTATATATTATAGAAGAAAATCAATCACCAGCTATGACAATTTTTCCTATAATCTGGAAAATTGAGTTATACTGTGCTATACATAAAACAAATCTAAAGACGACTTTATCCCTCCAAATTTTAACCAAAAGAAAAGGCTAATTACGATAGATGCCAATTGAAGGTGACATCCTAATAAACTTTGTTCTGTATGTATATAAAATTTCCACATGAAATGGTTAAAAACTATTGGTTACTGTAAATATTATAAATATCTGAAGGTGTGAAATTTCTGTTCAAGAATTTCATCTGGCACATGTTTCTTAAGTGGCCCTATGTAGATCAATGTATGTAGTAGATTGGAGCCTGTAAATAGATCATCGGAAAGAAAGACTGAGATGTAAGACACAGAGCCAAAATTTGAGCTTCTCTTAAGGCTAGCGAGCTTCAGAATAGAGAGAAAAGAGAGAGAGTTCGCTCATCTACGACGGAGAAAAATAAAAGATATATCGTATTGCCACCACCACGTTTCAGCGCTCAATAAGTGGTATCAAAGCAATGCTTCCATACTTAACAAGTGGTATTAGAGTGAGACGGTTAGGGATCGGTTTGTTGGAGCCCAGTCGAACGGGATCGACTTTAAAAAAGTGCATAGGTGCACGGTCCAGGACTGTGAAGTTGATCGGACTAGGACAAGACTTACTTGGAAAAAGCAAGGCATCACTAAGTCACCATGGCGGATATTGCTACTTCAACTAGCAGTGTCGAGAACCTCAACAACACTAATTACAACAATTGAAGCATTCGCGTTGAGCTACTTTTGCTTGGCCGGGATTTATGGGACATTGATAGAGGAGGTGACACCACACCTCCAAACGGCGGCGCTGAACTCAAGAAATGGAAGGTGAAATCCGGCAAAACCATGTTTCTGTTCGCAGCTATAGTTGATGATGAGTTGCTGCAACACATCAAGGATGCAAAGACACCCAAGGAAGCCTGGGACACTCTGGCCTCTTTCTTTGCAAAGACGAATGACATAAAGCTGGAGAAGCTGGAGAATGACCTTCCATCTATTGCTCAACCGGATCTGGACGTGAGTCTGATATTTTGCAAAGGTAAATGATCTTTGCGGCGGAACTATAAAGCTGTATCCTCAAAATCCTATCACAGAGGCAAGGACGAGGAAGATCATTGAGTGTAATAGTAAAATGTCAATACAAATATATATATATATATATAAAATCCCAATAAAATTGGTATGATATAAGGTATAACTACTACGTTAAGTGAAACTATACATAATTCACTGGTAATATAGTCTAACATAATATAATATAATATAATAATTGAGTGTAACTTATTCATAGTTATGTTGTTTTATTTCCTATTTCTCGATCCATTTAAAATAAATTTGGAATGAAATTCTTTTTTTTTTTCAATCCACGGCCTGATTGGCTTTCCTGGGCTCAAAGATGACCGAGACTCCACTGAGACCCATAAGAATGAAATTAAACTCATGAAACAAAAAAAGCACATTTATTAATTTATTGTTTATGCATTTGCTCTTACTTTTGATATCCATAAATTATAACCTAGCGATTCACCTCCAATAAAGATAAAGAAAGATAGTTTTGAGTTTTACCTTATACTAAATTTCATCCAAAGAATATGGCACCGGATAAGGACATCGGTATGCTAAAATGAGGATAAACTTAAATTTGCAATTACCTTAATGGTTTTCAAACTCTTCTTCTAATTTTTCAAATCAAATATCAATTTTAATTGCACTTTAAGTTTAACTTACTTTTTGCCGTTTGTACATTTATTTTTTAGCATGTTCCTTTTTTGTATGTTTATCTTTATAAAAAATTTATTATACACAAATATAGGTCTAACACATTCATTGAAATGACCAGTGACGATAATTATATGCTATCACAGATTAAAAAATATCATGTAAAATGCCAATATGTGCAGATTTGGGCAGGCTTGGTAACTGGTTTCCCTATAAGCCTCCTGCATAGCTTAATTTGACTTATAATATCCTTATCTTCCTCCAACAATTGAATAATGCAAATCTTTTCCCGCAACGTCCAATTGGTCATGCCATTCTCGTATATAGAATCGGTTGATACGATAAGAATGACTAAATTTCTTTTTGTCTCCCTAATATCATCTTATAGATATGGTTAAACTGGGGTCTTCCAAAGAAAGAGACTCTCAACACATCTTGGGATTGACCTAGTGGCAAGAGCGTGTTCATACTTTCAACTCGATAGTTATGGTGCTATTCCCAGAACTCATATTTATGTGGGAAGCCATGACATGGGTTGTTCTACTCCTAGGTTATAAAAAGGAAAGTGACTCCTAATTCGGCGAATGGCTCTTCAAATCTCACTCTCATTTTTTCATGGATAATGCACGGATTTTCGCTTTCAAATTGACCTCACTTCGCTTCGGTTCGAGGATTTCCGATGCTCGACACAACGGCAATACAACCTCCGACTAAGTTCTATAAACGGGATTATATGAGGAAGGACTGAAGGTGATTATTGATGGAAGGAACGAAAGAATACAACATTAAGTTTGATCATGATTCATACGCATTACAGGAATTATAGCCTCTGCCATATATCCCTTCTTGCGGATTAATCTCTCTCTGCTTCACACGCAACAGATAACTTCACCCGCACATAAACAGTTTTCTTGGAAATATGCTTTAGACATTCACTAATTTCTTCTCTATTCCCACATATAAACATTCATTATTTCATACTAGAGCTGAGCTCATCCTCGCAAGGTTTTGTCTGTGGCTCGGCCATGGCGGCATCGGATTCCAGCCTTAGCCCAAGACTTCTCAAATTCGTAGCAACTGTCGATCCCCGTGGAGCTTCGTGCACGAAAGAAGAAAACATGTTCACGTTAGCCGAAAGGGTAACTTTCTCCAAAATGTTACTGCATAGCAAACATACTTATTCGAGCAGTTCCCGTTAGGTGCTGTTCCTAAAACCTGGTGGACACGAGAGATTGAACACAAAAGACCAAAAATCATTTGGGATCTAAAGTTGAAAAGTTATTGAAAGTAAGCCAAATGATTTTATCTTAGGCTGTGTTCGTTTGGCGGAAAATGTTTTCCAGGAAAACATTTTCCGGGTTTTCCGGTGTTCGGGGACGGAAAACATTTTACCCCGGAAAATATTTTCCCCTCAATGAGGGAAAACATGACCAAATTGGCGGAAAATGATTTCCGCTTTTCAACTCCTCCTTCCCCCCTCCGGTTGCCGCCGCTGCCCCCCTGGATCTCGGTCACCGCCGCCGATCGCCGGCCGCCGCCGGTCGCCGGCCGCCGGCGAAAAATATTTTCCGAAACTTTTTCATATTGATCGCCGAACACCGGAAAATTATGTTCCAGGAAAACATTTTCCAGGAAAATAACTTCCGGGAAAATATTTTCCAAAAGGAGAATATTTTCCGCCAAACGAACGGAGCCTTAGAATGAAACTAGTATTCTTGCCCATGCTTCCAAACAGATTTTTATCGAAGTTGGTACAAACCAGTGTAGTATTAAATTTAGGATATTTCTTCTTTTTTTGGGTCTAAACACTTGTCTTTATTATTAGTGGTAATTGAACCTACTAACGGGTCTCAAAATAAAGCAGATCCCAAAGAGTAGTGGTGTGCAACCAGACCGGGTTTACTCGGAAACTGGACCGACCCACCCGAAAAACAGGTCCGGGAACCGGTTCTAACAAAAACCGGTCCGGGAACCGGTTCCATTTTTTGGGAACCGGTTATAACCGGTCCGGTTTCCGCTTCCAAGTAAAAACCGACCCGAACCAATTTTAGAACCGGTTTTGAGATAATGTAAAAAAAAGTAAAAATCCTAGATCACGTTACCCTACCCGGCTACCCAGTCTGTCTCTCATGGTTTCTCTCTTCTCTCTACTCAACTTCCTCTGTCTCTCACGATTTCTCTCTTCGCAAGCGCCTCCTCAGTCGCCGTAAGAACGCAACCCAGCTCATCGCCTGCCTGCGTGTTGAAGAGGGCTAGGGTTCGGTCATCTCGGCGTTCGTATCGTGCGTGTATTTTTTCCGCCTTTTTGGCTCGCCGATCCGGTAGATCTTTTACTTTGAATTGTTTCATTACTAACTATATGATTTTGCTGGAAAAAAATGAAACCAAAAAAAGGAACAAAAAAAAAAAGGTTCTCGAGTAAACCCTAAAACCGGACCGGAAAAACAGGGACAGTTCCAAAACAGGATCCAGGGAAAACAGGGTAGGTTCCAAGTTCCAAAAATTGAGAACCGGTTATAACAGGGTTGGTTTCAGGTTTCAGGTCTGGACCCAACCCACCCTGGAACCGATCACCTCTACCAAACAACCTGCGAAGGGCAGGCAAGCCAGTTCTAGAAGAGCGCCTTTTTTTTGTGGGCCTTAGCGAGATAGTTAGCCACAAGGTTACAAGCTCTATTACAATGGGCTAGCCTTAAATTGTTAAAGAGAAGTAACAGATCGTGGGCCTCTCTGATTAGCACGTGCCATTTCCAGTAAGATTGATCTGTAGACTTCAACAAGTTTATCAAACTAAGACAATATGATTCCAAAAGAATACGCTCGTGCGTGCGTGGACAGAGGAACTTCAGTGTTTCCATGATAGCTAGGGTTTCTGCTTGTTCAGCCAAGGAGATGAGAAATGTTCGCATGAAGCCATCAACCAAAATTTAGGATATTTCTTACCTAGATCTTTTATGTGAAATTTTCAAAACACTCATCTCAATCATATATAAATTAGAACCTTAGAAGAAATGTTGAGATGGAAATTTTCAAAACAAAGATCAAAATGTCTCGTTGCCATTTGATTTAATCAAGTAATATTTCAACTGCTTGATTAGGAAAGTCTCATTTGGAAAAGACATTGACATAGTGATATTA